AGGTTTGTTACATTAAATAGACTTAACCAGAAGTCTCTGTCGAGACTGTAGCTCTACTGGTTTGTACTTATAACAAAGGATGAGAAAAGAAGCCATTGCCATCAGACCAAATCTGTAGAGGGAGTATCATGTTAAAGGAATTTCACAGACACTTCTATTTTTAGTAACAATGGTAACACTGTATATCGAAATCAAAAACCGATGCACTATTTTATGTATCTTAGTGTAGTCTACTTGTGTGCCAAGTAATATTGAAATCAGACCAAAACTGTTGAGGAAGTAGCGTTAAGTAATTTCAGAGAAAATTCTATTTTTAGTAACCATGGCAACACCGTTCAACGAAATCAAAATCCGATGCATTATTTTATGTATCTTAGTGTAGTCTACTTGTGTGCCAAGTGATGTTGAAATCAGACCAAAACTGTAGAAGAAGTAGCGTTTTAAAGGAATTTCACAGAAAATCCAATTTAAGTAACCACGGCAACACCGTTCATCGAAATCAAAAACCGATGCACTATTTTATGTATCTTAGTGTAGTCTACTTGTGTGCCAAGTTATATTAAAATCAGACCAAAACTGTAGGAGGAGTAGCGTTTTGATAAATTGTTTACAGACAGACGGACAGACAGACAGACGGACGGACGACGGACACCTTACTATCGCATAAGCTCTTCTGGTCTCTGACCAGTACAGCTAAAAACGGGATTGCAACATCGTTACCTATTCCTTCATCTAAAATTTACATGCATGTTATTAAAAGCGATATATTTTAAACTGTCTCTGATAGACACGGTGTAACACGGGCGCCGACACGGTGCAACACGGAGGGTATAATGGACGAACTTCCTGGACACGGGGGGCCACGGTGGACTTCATGTATATTCTGAATATACACCGTGGCACACCGAGTACACGGTGTAACACAGAGCATTTCACGCGGTGTTTCTTCCACCGTGCGTTGCGGAAAACTCGTGGCCTGGGGCCCGTTTTACGAAAGAACTTACTACTATGACCAAAAACTTCAGATTGTAAAATTTTGCAGAATTAATAATTATGTTTGAAATTGTCAGTGTAAAAATATCTTACCATATTCTTTTTAAAAAGTTAAAAATAATATTTGATATATTGTTTGTTTAAAAGTTATATGAATATTTAAACTTGGTCTTAAGTCGTAGGTCCTTTCGTAAAACGGGCCCCTGTACTGTATATGACGTCATGACGCGCCATTTTTACAACATCATGAACATGTTAACCTTGCACCTGTATGTTTATACTCAAAATGACAAGTATTTTAGAATATTATTGTTTAAAGATATATATCACACATTTATGTTGTAAACAATTGTATATCCACATATTAAAACTAAAACCAATTTTGTTTTGGTTTTTGTTTTAAATTCAGTGTAAACAATTTATTATGACGTCACAATTTAACATATAAAATTGATTTCTTGGTTTTGTTAGCTCTACTGGTCAGAGACCAGAAGAGCTTATGCGATAGTAATGCGTCGGTCGTCCGTCCGTCGGTCTGTAAACAATTTTTCAAAATGCTACTCCTCCTACAGTTTTGCTCTGATTTCAATATAACTTGGCACACAAGTATAGATTATACTAATTAAGATACATAATTCTGTGTATCGGTTTTTGATTTCGATAAACGGTGTTGCTGTGGTAACTAAAAATAGAAATTTCTGTGAAATTCTTTCAAAATGCTACTTCTCCTACAGTTTTGGTCTGATTTCAATATAACTTGGCACACAAGTAGACTACACTAAGATACATAATTATTTTTATCGGTTTCTAATTTCGATAAACGGTGTTGCCGTGGTAACTAAAAATAGAAATTTCTTTCAAAATGCTACTCCTCCTACAGTTTTGGTCTAATTTCAATATAATTTCAATATATATTGGCAGACAAGTAGATTACACTATTTTGATGTAAATAAAAATTCTGTATATCGGTTTTTAATTTCCATGAACGGTGTTGTCATGGTCACTAAAAATAGAAATTTCATTAAAATGGTTTCAAAATGCTACTCCTCCTACAGTTTTGAAAAAACGTTTTGAAGAGAGATTTCAATATAACTTGGCACACAATGCTTAGAAAGGTTAGTTAAAGTTAACACCACAGAAATCACAAATAAATTTTAGATTTATCGGTTTTTCATTTACATAAACATGGATTTACAAGACGTGTATCAAAGAAGAAACTAGTGATAAGGGAGGTAAATAGAAAGAATTTCTGTAAAATTGGAAGGATTTTCAAGAATGTTATTTTCTCGGACTCAAAAATTGTTATTGGACGTGATTCAAGGGTGTATGTTTGGCGTAAGAGGGGTGAAGGGTGGATAACTTGCACACATGCTTTGAGGTCATGATCTGGGTGTATTACTTGGCATGGAAGAATCACGGCTGTAAATGGAAATATTAAGAGACTTGATAACAATCTGTGGCCAGTTATAGCTCGCCATTTTTCATCTGGTGACTATATATTTGACAATGCCCCCGTACATGTAAAGTTTCAGGAATTTATCAGAAATAGAATAACTGGAATGCTGGCCTGCACAAAAGATATCAATATCATCGAGAATCTATGGTTACTTATCAAGAGAAAGTTACAGACACGAGTTGGGAGGATCGCATAACCACGAAATCCAGTGTATTTGAGACAGACTTTGTTAAATGCCTCTACCGATCTATTCCCCGGAGAAAATGTTAGCTAAAAGGGCATCTCACAAAGTACTAGGTAAGTTTCATTATTTATTTCATGTTTTTTACTGCAATATCTATACTCGAAAATTGACCTAATTTGGTATTCCGAATATACATACTGTAACTTGGCAAACAAGTAGATTACACTAAGATACATAATTCTGTGTATCGGTTTTCGATTTCGATGAACGGTGTTGTCGTGGTTACTAAAAATAGAAATTTCTGTAAAATTGTTTCAAAATGCTACTCCTCCTACAGTTTTGGTCTGATTTCAATATAACTTGGCACAAGCACTAGGATACATAATTCTGTGTTCGGTTTTTCTCGTTAAACAGTGTTAGTGTAAAAAAAAATTTCTGTGAAATTCTTTCAAAATGCTACTTCTCCTACAGTCTTGGTCTGATTTCAATATAACTTGGCACACAAGTAGACTACACTAAGATACATAATTTATTTATTGGTTTTTAATTTCGATAATCGGTGTTGCCGTGGTAACTAAAAATAGAAATTTCTTTCAAAATGCTACTCCTCCTACAGTTTTGGTCTAATTTCAATATAACTTGGCAGACAAGTAGATTACACTAAGATACATAATTCTGTATATCGGTTTTTAATTTCCATGAACGGTGTTGTCATGGTTACTAAAAATAGAAATTTCATTAAAATGGTTTCAAAATGCTACTCCTCCTACAGTTTTGGTTTGATTTCAATATAACTTGGCACACAAGTAGACTGCACCAAGATACATAATTAGATTTATCGGTTTTTGATTTCCATGAACGGTGTTGTCGTGGTTACTAAAAATAGAAATTTCTGTAAAATTGTTTCAAAATGTTACTCCTCCTACAGTTTTGGTCTGGTTTCAATATAACTTGCACACAAGTAGACTACACTAAGAACATAAAGAGACTTTATCAAGGATCATTGTTCTATTTATTGCTGCTGTAAAGTTTCAATTCCCAATTGCTTAAGTACTTTTCTTTCAATATAACATAACACAAGATGGACAGACTAGAGAAAAATAAAGAAGAGTTTATCAAGGAATCATTGTTCTATTTATGGTATTAACAAAGTTTGAATTCACCAGAATGCTTAAACTTTTCTCTTCCTGCTATAAGTACAAACAAGATTATTCTCTCAATTTAGTTCATCATTATATATAAAAACTCATTTACTTAAATTTTGTTAAAAAAACAAAAGGCATATGTGTTAGACGGCATTTCTCTTGTTTTATAAACCACAAACTGAATTATTAAATATTTCAAAATTTATAATGGATCATAATTCATGTTTACACACATCACCTGACGTTCTTATTTTTCTTTTTAATTAAAAAATATATATACACATTTTAAGAATAAACAATGTACGATTTACCCGATTTGTAATTTTTAGCATAATTAATTCGTTCAATTATGTAAATCAAATAAATTCCCTGCAACCATATTCTTTCTGTGGCTTTCTTTCGAGGTAAACTTCCGGACACTGCAACCAGAAAGGCGCATCACACTTGCAAATATTGAAAATTCGTCAAATCGACCTACTGGTCGCCAGTAGTGCTTGTTGTTTTTGTTCTTAATAAATTTCGAATTCAACATGTAATTTTTAAGTATTTAAATATCGGCGTGTTTAGTATTACTGTAAATGGGAAAAATGTTTTTGTATAAATATACCTGTAAAATATACTTTTTAATTTTTACAATTTTGAGGAAACAATCCGAAAATTTGACAATTTTTATTGTTCGTGTCGTTGGTCATTTTTAGTGCTTTATATAAATTTCCATCCGTGACCTTGTATCTACTTGGTAGATCCGACATTTAGGATATACAGTGTTGTTGGTTTTTTAGTGTTATATATATATATATATATATATATATATATATATATATATATATATATATATATATATATATATATGATGTAGCTCACAGGAGTGTCTCAAAAATAGATGCTGCAGGATGCAGTTTAAAATCTTTGAATTAGTCTTTTGCGCAAGTCGGAAGCAGTCCTGTTTGCATTGTTACATGTATGATGTTCAATGTGGAATACATCTGCGTCTTCTTGGTCAACTGTTTCCAATAATGGAATACCATTTTGAATTGCCAGGTTATGCAGTCTCATTGTGCATTCTATTATTCTGGTGCACTTTGATGGCCTATATGGCAGAGCTCCTCCAGTCTTGTGCAAGCACCTGTTAAAATAGGAAACATTACATTTATCAATTATTTTTCCCTTCTAAAACTTGAAAATAATGTTCAGTGAAATAATTATTTTCCAAATTTGCAACTTACCTGAAGCGTGCTTTCAGTACACCGAAAGCTCTCTCGATGACGTTCCTGGTCTTACAATGGGCTCTGTTGTATCTCTCCTCCTGTTCAGTTCTTGGGTTGGTTAGAGCGGTCATCAGCCACTCTTTCAGAGGGTAGCCAGAATCCCCTACAAGCCATCCTCCATTCTCAAGGCTGGAAACAACATTTGGTAGAGAGCTGCTCTGCAAGATGTAGGCGTCGTGGGTGGCCCCAGGAAACTTGCAAACGGCATTTGTAAACCTGAGCATGAAAGAAACTTTTAAGTTACAGGCCATGTCAGGATAATCATGTTTGTCAAGTGTGATATTTTACATAAGTGAGATTTCTGATGACCCGTTGTCCGTCCATCCATTCATAAACTTTGAGTTTGATTTTTATCAGATATATCTTGTCAATTTTTTAGGTATGTTGACTTGTCAATAATTTTTCTTACTTACCTATTTTGTAATTTGAAATTTCTTTTTCTGTCTAAGTACCCTTTAACTAATAATCAATCATTACCATATTGCATTTATTTAGTCGTATTTTAATTAAGATTACTAACGCGGCATATAAGAAATGAATTACCTTAAATCGGGATTAACAACAGCCTGCACGTTAATGGAATGGTACCCTTTTCTGCATATATACAAGGGCTCGTAGTCTGAACTCATTCCCTGAATCGGAATCTGTGTACCATCAATGGCACCAACCACACCGGGAAAGCCTGCAATCTTGTAGAAGTGTGCTTTGACCTTTCTTCGTTCTTCAGTAGAGGTTGGAAAATTAATGTTCTTCAGTGTTTGGCATATTGCTTCTACTACTCTCTGTATGATCACGCTTGCCGACGCTTTAGAAATGCCGTGAAGGTCCGCTACTTCCGAGAGGTAGTCGCCTTTTGCTAGGAATCTGAGACATGTTAGAACCTAAAATAAAGAGTGCCCCAGTTGTACTCAATGATCATATACTTTATACATTCTGAATGTACGTATACCCGATATGTTTGTGTGTCAGGGAGGGGGGGGGTCTAATCGAAAAAAAATCTTAATGACAGAAGGAAAACTGGAGGTAGAGATTCATTCAAAGGTAAATACTAACAAGCAAATTCAAAGAATAACTCTGGTCACCCTTCCAATGATTTGGCCGATATATACAGACCCTTAACGTGCTACTACAACTCAAACGAAACGAACTGTTCCGTGCAAGAAGCGTATACAATATCGTTCACAAAGCGAATACATGTATGTCGAAAACTACAAACTACAAAAATAAAGTTGAGCATGAAGACACGTCAACACCTGAAATAATATCACATTCTATATGAGGAATACTATTGCTCCAACCTCTTAAACCATTTTGCCAAATGACATTTTATTTTTCAGATATTTATATAAGTAAACAAGTTCTACATATATTTACATAATTTTTAAGAGAAATATGTTTCTGTTTGAAAACGCAGAAATGCAGCTGTACTAGGGGGAGGTCTGTTTCGGGGTAGGGGCTCGAAATGAATATATGTATTTTTTCCTTAAAGATTTTGACAATAAATATCCACCAGCAAGAAAGTAGATATTTAAAACTTAAATGTACCTGAACCCCCCCCCCCTTCCAAACTAGACATGGAATATTTAGACCGTCAACTTTCATTGGTGCTACCGACACCCAGTGATCCCACCCCCCAAACACACAATTGAAAGTTGCAATGGGAGAGTAGCGTACATTTTGGCCGTGGTTTGCGACGATGATTATTAAAGGGAAACAATTCAAATATAAGTCGGTACATGTACAGTAGTGGCCCTTTGTTTACTCTTCAATATTTGAAAATGGACAAAGTCATGGATCATGATTACAGTATTCTGTGTCATAATATTCTTCTTAATCATTTTCTTCAGGATATTCAGCACAGTAACAGTAAGTTTCTATGCTTTTTGAGTTTTAACATTGTAACATTTGGAACTTTGTTTTGGTGCTATAACTTTATATAGAATTTCCTCTGTCGATCTATATCTGTTACCATACCAGTGGGTTACAGGGAACATAATTATGTACCTGAATGTGTGCAGGTATAGAGTGGGATCTCCAAGTTTTAGGCTGGATGAGGTCTTTCACTTCCTCTATCAAGTAAAGAATGACGTGTCTCGGAAACCTATAGCGCTCAATGAGTTCACCGTCCGTCAAAGTATCTAGAACTTCACTCCTGTCCCTAAAAATCCTGGGGCGACGAGGAGATTTGTCTTCCTTTTCTCCCAAAATATCACGAAATATTATGAAGACAGCCATTTTTATTTACATTTACGAAAAAATCGTAACTTAGGATAGCCCATAGGCTGTCGTAGAGTTACGATAAGATTTTTAACGTAATTTAAGATAAAAAGTTTAGTAAGACAGAAATTTTTCGTAACTTATGGTTACGATCAAATCTTAACTTACGAAGTTTAGTAAAACTGAAGCCAGGTATGGATTTACAACTGACCGGGTATAAGTAATCCACCACCTTCAAGTGACAGACTTCAACCAATCGTAAGCCAGGATTTCACAGAAAACTCAACAGAAGTGGGGTAATATTAGTTACACAGTCAGTTAGTGACCTAATACGGATTCATACAGGGTTTGAAATGGAAATCCGTATTGGGCGAGGCGAAGCCGAGTCCCAATACGGATTTCCATTTCACACCCTGTATGAATCCGTATTAGGTCACTAACTGACTGTGTTACGAATTTATCCCGATGAAGACCTTTTTCAATATAAAAAAAATATTTGTGCGTATTATGAAAATAATATTTTCATAATACGCACAAATATTTTTTTTATATTGAAAAAGGTCTTCATCGGGATAAATTCGTAACACAGGCAGTTATAAGTTACTTTTAATCCAGTAACAATCAACATAAAATATCGTTACAGTAACAAGAAATTTAACTAAACTACCTACGTAAACCGTTTCTTAGCCGCCATTTGTATTTACAATAACAACGCTTCGAACGGAATCGCGTGCCCGATTTTCATATTACGCCTTGACGGAGACGTAATAGGGCGTCATGTGATTAGCTTTTATCCAATCAGTAATCGACAAATTAGTCTGAAGCGGGATAAAAAAATATACATCCTGTTGGGTTTGAAAAATAATGCATTTCACTCATTAAAAGTCACAATCAGGCAAATATAAAGTATGATTAAGTCACAAATGTAAATATAAGTAATAAGGTTTGTACGGGTTGGTAGTTGGTACCAGATTAAATTCATCATAAAGCCCTTCAGGCTTTATGGAATTTAATCTTGTGACCAACAAGTATTTATATCCTTATAGATGTTTAAAAATTATACTTTTTTTCTAAACTAATGTTTTCTCAGATGAGTCTCGGATAAGTGTTTGAATACAAATTTGGGCAGACATACCTGTAAAAAAAAAGTGCATGATAAACATTGACCATTTAGCATAATTAAGTTTTTCATGGCATTTATGAGATCAGTATAAGTGCATTGTCTCTGAAATTTCTACTCAGCTGTTCATAATATTATAGAAAATACATCACAAGACTAGTATAACATTTTAGGATACCTTAAATTTACTTTAACAATGTTTAACAAACTTGCTTGGTAAATTTTAATGTACTGCTTTTTTGTTATTACTTACTCATATATATATTCTGCATCCATTGTCTCAGTTTTGAAAATATTTTTTTTTCTCAAAATAATTTTCCCTACCTACATGACCCACCTACCCTTTTATAGCTATATTTTTTATTGTGGGACAGAAAACAGGAATATATTTTCTTTTGGCCTAATCAATGATGATTTACCTGGATAAAAATTGTTATGTAAAATTTACATTTTACAATATTTGTTGTTTGTGTTGATGTTTTTAATCATTTTTTCAATTTCTTTATTGATTCACCAATCATAATGGCATACAACCATGTTACATACAAAATACAATTAAACATTAAAATACTAGCTGTACTTACATACATGCAAGTTACAATGTAATCAGTTAATAATAATACACATGAGAAATTAAAATTAATTATAACAAACAAGAATCATACAAACTTATATATTTACTTTTGAAAACAATTGATTCTTTTTTATTTATTTTTTTGACATTTTGAGCTATGGGTATGAGCAGACTCTATGTTTGGGGTACGAGTCGGTTTGAGTACGAGTTGACTGGACACCTGTTTATTTTTTGGGGGGAAGGTAAACTCAGAAATAGACTAATCGGAAACATACGACGGCAGGATACTCTACTTCTAATTTTGCTTACTTTTCTTTCTCCTTGGATAAATCCAATTTCTCCTTTGCTTGCATAGAGTGATCAAAAAACTTTTCACGTGTTTCTTCAATTTCAGCTATAAGTGTCACTGCCTCTACACTCGTGACTGGTCGTGGACCAGTTTCGTAGGGTAAAGTCAAAGTAATTGATTCTTTCATTATTTCTTCAAAAGTATGCAAATGGTCTGGCGTGGTTGTCATCTGATACATCTGCCCCCTCCATGCCACCTGTTTTGTTCGTGCAATTAAAGTAGATAAGGGTAAGGCAGCTTGGTCGTAAAAAATTCCCAAGGCATCCAAGTCCACTTGTTTCCATTTCGATACATTTTTTTTTAAAAGTCGGTGTCGGTTCACAGAGGATGTAAGTTTGTATTTTCTCAAACCTTCACTTCTCGATGAGCTAGTACTACTTGACACAGAACTACTCTCAGAACACGAGATGCTTTCTTCCTCAGTTGTTTTCTCACGTGCACACTCGGCCATGATGAACGGGACAAACTAAAAACCACACTTACTTAAGTACCAGTCCAGATAAAAATCAGACAAAACTGTAAAAAAAAAAGTGATACATGAAGGTTTTCAGAATTTGATGATTTTCTACTCATAGATTTATTTTGAAGTATGAAAAATGTATGTAAAATGAAAAATGTTTTGAGTCATGGTAACCATGGAAACCCGGCCAAAGAAATTTCCTTAGCAACAGGCGGATTTTTCAGTGTTGAAGGACAAAAAATCACCTATCTTTGAGGCTTAAAATAACAGGTAAATGCCATGAGAATTATTCTTACTTATAGGTGTAATAAAGATACACATTTATTGTGTTCTAATAATGTAATAAAAAATATTTAGGTCTGAAGTCAGTTCTGTGGTAGACATTGGAAGGTACACATGTTTTACAAGTTTTGCTGATTCAGCATTTTTCGTGATTTTGGCAATATTCAAGGCCAAGTTTTAAAAATGGACAGATTAATACAGTTGTTGCATGTATCTCACATAAAAGCAGAGGTATTTCTCTTTTAGAATTTGAAGTCAAATCCATGGGCTCTTTTGAAAATCGAATCTGTTGCCTAGCAACAAAAATGGGCTCCTTGATGCATTAAATGAGAAACAATGTAAAAAAATTACGGAAAAATCAAATGAACGGTTATTTATGATAAACGAGATACAAATTTTGAAACAGTATAATTAAATTCGATCTCCCTAGCACATTATTGAATATTGCATAATTATTGATCTCCATAGCAACGGCAGGTTTTCCATAGCAACAAGGCAAAGAAAGGTAATTTTGGCATGTATTCGTGTAATCTTATTAAGGCTTATTCAAATTAAGTCAGAAAAATGTGATTGAGCAAAACTGACAATGAACTGTTGGTCAATCTTAATTTTTTTTTCGTCTTTAATCAACACATGGCAACGATTCCCAGCGCATGACGACCAATGTGCCCTATGCCTCCTGTAAAGAGATTTGACTTTTGGATCAGTGTTCATCATGGAAATGAATATAAAATTAATGTGTTGGTGATTATATTTGTGGAGAGTGCTGAAAAAATATATGAAATGTTCCATCAATTGTTGTTATCGCAACAACTACATATGAGTGAATTTAAAATGGGGCGAGTTCAAATACACAGTATAAATTCTTAAACAGAACTGTGACTGGGCGAATTTAAAACGGGGCAAAATTTCTTGTATGTGTGAACGGGCAAAAATCATATGATACCAAATTAAGGATGTTTTCCATAGATAATGTTTTAATGTAACTTGTACGATATTGTGGATTAGATTCAAGACACTCACGGTGCATGGTTTCAATGGCTGCATTTTATTTCCGGAACTGTTTTCATTTCCGATATTTTAGAATTTTCATCTCTGACATTTTTCAAGCAGTATACTTTTCTGCAATGAAAGTAGCTAGGATTTAAGACTTAACTCATGAAAAATATTACAGAATGAATCATGAATAAATCATTGAAATCCAAAATAATGAGTTTTGCAATTGACTTTGGGTAATGTTTTAAACCAAAGGCCATGACATGGGGTGGGGGTGGGGGGGTGGGGGGGGGGGGGTGGATAGGTTCGATATTCAGTACCAAATTTTTTCCAAACAGCTCCACTTTGAATTCCTAATTTTAAACCTATTCTGCAACGTGTGTGTGGAAAGTGGGGGGCTAAACCTACGCAGCAAAGTTCAATGTCTATACTAGGAAAAGGCTAAGCCCCAAGCCCCCCCCCCCCGGTTCCGACGCCTATGTAGTTTGGTAACTTTATAACCATAGACAGAGTAAAGGAATAAAAATAATGCATTTCAACCACTCTAAGTAATATTCAGTATTACTCAGTAGTGTCCCCACCCCACAAGAACCCCTGACCCTCAGGTCCACACATTTCACAATTCTTGCTCATCATAAATGTTTGATTAACATCATGGAGTGGATTTCAAAGAAATAATTCTTTTTTAGTATATAGTCAAAGACACCCCCCAACCCCAGCCCTCTATGATACCCCTGTTCCGGGGGGCTTGGAATTCACAATTCTGGAAGAACGATCATAGCTATATCATAACTATATGTCTGTAGTCAGTTTGTTAAATACCTAGGAGTAAAGAAGAAGATTAATTATGAAAGATTTATTGCAATTTCACCATTTGATGATTAGAGCCCCACCCTAAGGAACATCAGAAATCCTGGTCCTTGCTCCATGAAATTCACAACCTGATCCTTTGGCCATGAAATTCACAATTTTCAAAGAGGCGCTCTTCCTTATTGTAACTACACATTTAGTTAGTTGTTTAATACCCAGGGACAGAGGAGAAGATTTTCCATTTTAAAGATGCATGTTTACTATACAATCAAAAGAGCCCTGCACCCTAACACCAGAACTCCTGACCCTGGGGCCATGAAGTTCACGATTTTAGATGAGGCACCCTTCCTCATCATAACTATGTGTTTTTCAAAGAATTTATGCATGTTAACTATATAATCATTTAAGCCCCGCCCTAACACCAGAACCCCTGTCCAAAGGCCATGAAATTCACTACTGTGGAACAGGAATATTTTCTCATCTAACTATTTACTTAATTAATTTTACCCAGGAGAAGAGAAGAAGATTTTCATAGAAATAATGTATTTTCACTATATACATGTAA